ACTCCCTCCTGGGTGAACAGGAGGCTGCTCAGTCCCCTGAGTAGGTGCCCCTCCCTCCAGGGAAAAGAAAGATCCCGCAGACCTGAGGGTGCAGCTGCGGGAGCAGCACCTCTATTACCGGGACAAGCTGCTGCCCATCAACCGGGTCATCGTGCACCCCAACTACTTCTCATTTGTGAACGGGGCAGACATTGCGCTGCTGGAGCTCGAAGACCCCGTGAGCACGAAGCACACAGCCCAGCTGGTCGCTCTGCCCCCCCGCCTGGGAGACCTTCCCCCCGGGGAGCCCGTGCTGGGTGACAGGCTGGGTGATGTGCACGATGGAGGTGAGTGTCAGGCACAGTTGGGGGGCTTGGGGAGTGGGGACCAGTCACACACCCGCCCAACTCTGGGATTCCGTTGGGGGAGGGATCCCAACAGCAGGCTCAGGGCAGTGATGGCCTCGCCACTGGTGCCGAATGCTCTCCTCTCACCGCCCAGTGCCCCTCCCACCGCCGTTCCCCCTGAAGCAGGTGAAGGTCCCCATCGTGGAAAACAGCGTTTGTGACGCGGAATACCACACCGGCCTGTACACGGGGGACAGCAGGCAGATCGTCCGTAACGACATGATCTGTGCCGGGGCCAAGGAGAAGGACTCCTGCCAGGTGGGCCCGTGTCCTCCCCCAAATCCCCACCCCATCCGCCTCTCCAGCCACTGACCCCTCTCCCCCCCAGGGCGACTCTGGAGGGCCCCTGGTCTGCAAGGTCAACGGCACCTGGATGCAGGCGGGTGTGGTCTGATGGCGTGAGGGCTGTGGCCAACCCAACAAGCCCGGCATCTACACCCGCGTCACCTACTACCTGGACTGGATCCACCAGTACGTCCCCGAGGAGCCCTGAGCCCGTCCCTCGGGCTGCCACCCAGCCCCCTCCTGTCCCCGACCACTGCTTCCTGCCCAGGTGTCTGCCCTTTCCACCTGCCCTGCCCCCTGCCCTGAGCTCCCCCAGCCCAGGGAGTGGGTGGTGGGCACTGCCCCTCACTAAAGTGTGTGAAGAGCACCTGTGGTTGTGGCCGTGTGTCCAGCTGTGGGCGTCACTGAGGGGGAGGGAGGGCTCCAGGGGCAGCCACACAGCCACTTTGTGTCACTGTGCGGACCCCTGGCCCTGAGCTGTGGGGACACGCCGTCCCCAGCCCCTGGTGCCTGGGGTTGTGTCGGTCATGTGTATTCAGGTCACATTCAGGTCACATAAAGCAACACAGAACATTGAAAAGGTAATTCTTGCCCAGCCAGCGTGGCTCAGTGGTTGCGTGTAAGACCGATGAACCAGGAGGTCACGGTTTGATTCCTGGTCAGGGCACATGCCCAGGTTGTGGGTTCAGTCCCCAGAAGGAGGAGTGCAGGAGGCAGCGATGGTCATGGATGTCTCTCTCTCCTCCCTGAAATCAATAAAAACATTTTTAAAAAGATAATTCTGGGGGCACCCAGGTGCCCAGCAACGGGGTCACAATAGACCCCTGGCCCCACACCCTGGGGCCTGCGACCACACAGTGCCCTGCCCTCCCTCCCAGCACCGTCCTCAGCTCTCAGGCCCCACTGAGCTCGCACATGTGGATGCCGTGCGGCTGCCTGTGTCACAGGTGCAGGCGGATGGAGTGAGGCTGGAGCCTCCGTCACACCGAACACCACGCGGTGCCGTCCTCCGTGGCTGCCTGTGGGGAGGACACCATTTCTCACCGTCAGCGTGTCGTCTCCCAGGGAGCCTGTGTCCAGGCTGCTACAGGGGACAGAGGTGCCCGGTCAGGGTCTCAGGACCAGGGCGGCTGTCCCTGTGCACACATCCCGCATGTCTGCGCCTGTGCCAGCGAGGGAGCCGGGCCTGAGGTCCGAGCACCTCCATTTCCTGGCAGCCAGATGCCTCCCCACAGCCATGGGGCCAGGCCTGTCACCCTCCAACGACCCATTCTCGGGGTGGGGGGCATCTCATTGAGTTTTAATCAGCATTTTATGGGTTTTGGTGTGGGAACCCCTTTCACATTGGCGCCCCCTCGGCAGGAGAGGGGACAGGGTCACCTGCAACACTGACGGGCCCAGGCCCACGGCCAATGCTTCCACCTCTGGGATGTGCGGCCACCGAGCGAGCTTCCTGTCACCGCTCAGGCCCCGGGGCCGCTGGTTTGTGCATCCGGCTGCTGTGCGTTCAGCTTGTCTCCTGGGCACAGCGTCCCATGACCGAGCTCCCTGCCCAGGGCGCAGACTTGGCAGGTCCGCGTGGGAGGGCCTCTGCCCTCACCCTGGGCCTCCCCGCTGTGGACACCGTGGTGGGGAGCCCTAACCCCCTCCTTTCCTTTCATCTTAATCATCTTATTGCAGCCAGAGACTGTCCTTCCTCGGTGTGAAGGCAGAGATGGACCGGCCACCACCCCCTCCCTCCCTCTCTCCGCCCCACACTCTTGGGGCTGCCGCTGTGGTCGGCAGGCTGAGCTCCCTGGATCGCGCACCTTGCACACGCGCATTTACACTTTTCTCGGTGGGGGCTGTGCTGGGGACACTGAGGGACAAGGGCTCCTCGGTGGAGGGTGCAAGGAAGGAAGGGCACATGGTGGGGCCTGGGGCTGAGACCCCCACACTGGGGGAGCAGGGAGGAGGCCGGGCACCCGCTTCCCTTATCTGGCCCTGGGATCTGGAGGAGCTCAGCCAGCAGCAGTGACAGATAAAGTGAGTGTTGGCTTATCAGGGAGGGTCAAGCGGGCCTTCCGTTGGGCCAGGGGGGCTGTGGGGGGACAGCGCTTCCTGTGTGCCCACATGGTTCCTCCTGAGGGGGCCCTGTGCAGGGCCACGCTCACTGGCTGCTGGTGACCTGCACCCCAGGTCCAGGCGAGGGTGGCACTCTGGGGTACGCCACCCCTCCTGGAAAATGGGCACAGAAATGAGTCCTGTCAGTCATCGAGCGGACCACACCCATGGTATTGGAGTTTTTTGCTCAAGAGCAGGCCTGGAGTCCTGGGGGTGTGGGTGCTGCAGGAAACCATGCATGGGGTGCTGGAGGAATGAGCGGGGTCTCAGTGCTGGAGGCAAATGAACTAAAATAGATGAATGCCCTGAAGGCTCTCCTGTGGGGACCAGGGAAGTCACTGGGGGTAAGGGAAGCACAGAGAACCTGAAGTCTTCTAGACCCGGCCCCCAACCCACACACTTGGTGACATCAGGCCCTCAGAGGCTGGGCGTGCTGGCCAGAGGACAGTTCCCCGTTCCTCAAGGGCACCCTTTCAGGTCCGTTCCTGTGACGGGTCCAATGCAGTCGTCACTCAGAGATGGTGCCACTGCCGTCCCTGTCCAGCGTCAGGGCAATGTGGCACGGGCACCTTCGAGCCACATCTCCAGGCCGGATGCTGGAAGGAGACAAGTCTGTGCCCGAGAAGCCACGTCCTCAGGCTCACCCTCCATGTACCTTGGTCCCCCCCCCCCCAACCCGCACACATACACCTACAAGTGGATCAGTGATACAGGCACCTGCAACCCAGGCCTGTGACTTGGAGCTGGGAGTGGGGGACTGCAGTCCCTCCCAGAAGCCCCCATGAGCTCAGTCATCAGGCCCTGGCCAGACAAGGTTAGATAGGGGTGCCGCCATGCTGTGTCCGTTAGATCTGTGGTGATCGTGGGACTGCAAGACTGATGTGGGACAGGGACAGTGGGGAGGGTGGGTTGGTGAGACTCCAGTCCTGGGGTTTCAGACCTTTCTGGCCTTGAGCTGCAACTGTCCTGAGAGATCCCCAAGATCAGGCTTTGAGAACAAGGGACCATGGGGCTGCACACAAGCCCTGGTCTGAGAGGCCAGCAGGACATGGGGCAAGGTCAAGGCTCAGGGCTAGGGGGGTCAAAGACTTCAGTGCAGGGAGATAGCGAGAGTGGGTGCCTTCTGCAGCCCTAAGCCGACTGCCCAGCTGGAAAGCTCTCCCGTGAGGACCCCCCACAGCACCCACCCCCGTCAGAAGCTCTGGCAACAACTTCTCCCTACGTTGTCAGATGCAGCTTCTCCAGCGTGCGAATGCCGTGTGCCCGGCTGCTATGATCTCAGCTTTTCCTGACGAACTGCCCGAGTGGGGGAACCATGGGCCACCAGCCGCAGGTGCTCGGGAGGGGACCCTGCCACTCTGCTGGGGTGGCGGTCACCATCCAGCCGCCCACCCTCACGCGGGACTGATTCTGCTGGTCGCCCACTTGTTCCTTAAATAAGTTAATGTTTATTCTGTTTTGCTCTGCCCTCCCCATGCCCTCAACTTCAGAAGCTGAATTTTCTGCATCGGATTATTGCAACTTTAACCTGAATTTATAAGAGAAACAAAATGAAACAAAGGGGCCTCTGTGGGCACGGCTCTGCTCAGACCCCAGGGCGGCCGTTGGAGGCGCTGGCCTCGGGGGCTTGGCTCCCATTCCCTGGCGATCCGGCGTGTCAGAGACCAGTCGACAGGTGTTTTCTGGACAGAACGGTGGGGAGGGGTCCAGGAGGGACAGGTGGAGAGACAGCGCTGGCAGAGGCCGGGACAAGTGGACAGGCGCTCAGACTGTGAGTGATGGTGAGGCACGGCTGCGGGGCCCTGGTGACTGAGCTGCCACCGCGAGGGCACAAGTGGCCCCCAGCGTGAGTTCCCTAGAAAAGTAAGTGGATGTGAGGACGGGACTCTGCCGGGCAGCCTCTACCTTTCCCTTCTGGTTGCTTTCTGGTCCTTGTCCCTGGTCCTCTCTCGTGAAGGGACTGCTGACCAGGCCGCCAGCAGTCTGACCACAGCGGCCAAACGCGTAGAAACCAAACCTGAACCGACAGGCTCCCAGTCTGAGGAGCTAACCGTACTCCTTTCACCCAGAACAGCATCTGCCTCCCTCTCCCTGGCCGACGTCCTCCCGGCTCCTCTGCCCAGTGTAGGGCCCGAGCTGGGGTCCATGCATGGCCCTGCCTGGGGCCACCACCCCACTGGATACACCCCAACCCCATGCCAAGCCTGTGTGGCCTCGTGTCCCCAGCTACACAGGCTCATCCGCACTGTCACCAGGTGTGGGCCTGGCTGGGGGGGACCCTGCTTTCTTTGGGGGGCTCTCGGGGACATTGAGGTACAGCCCCCATCCCTTCTCGGGGGGGTCGCTGGAGGGCATGGGAGACTCTGTTTTGTGGGGTTCAGCAGGTGCTGTGACCCCTGAGGAAGCTCTGGGTTCTGGGGCCACCCTGTGCCCACTGTCCGAGAACAGGTCCCCGCTGGGGACCCCATGTCCAACAGCTCGAAGGCAAAGCTGGGGATGGTTAGGTGCTCTGCACGGCAGGGAACCTGGCCCCAGCGCTCCCCCTTGCTGGTAGGGTCCACCCCCAAGCCCTCCATGGGCTCGCAGGACGGGGTTCTCCGCCTCAGGGTGGTACTGCCACCCTCCGCTGCAGGGGGCCAGGCTGCACCCTCGTCCTCCACGGGGGGGTCTATGGAGATGCACGGGGGGCTCATCTTCTTCTTCCTGCGTGACCCCAGCACCGGCTCAGCCTCCAGGGCCGGGGCCTTCACCTCTCCAGGCTCAGGGCGGCTGTCCCCTCCACCCTGCTCCACCGAGGGCCGCCGGTGCTGCTCTGCCCGGCCGGGCTGGTCCAGAAGGCCCTGGGCGTCCACACCATAGAGCCTGCACAGGTCCGGCTTGCCAGCCACCACCCTGTGGGCTTCGGGAGAGGGGCTTCGGGCTGAGCTGGTGATGTGGCTGACCTCCTCGTCGGCTGGGTCTGGTGCCTCCGCCACCTCCCCGCCTGCGGCCTGCAGCTGGCTGGAGATGCAGCTCTGTCCGAGAGTGTGCTTTCGGGCTCGGACGCTGGCGGGCCTCGGGGAGCGGGGCGGGGACCACAGGGAGTCCCCCAGGGACGCCTGTCTGGTGGGGGTCTTCCCGTCAGGCTCCCCCGAGTCCAGGCCGCAGTCCGCAGGGCCGTCAGCCTGGGCTTCCAGGGAGTTGGTGTGCAGGGCCTCCTGCAAGGGCATGGGGTCGGGTGAGACCAGGCAGAGCCCCGCCAGCAGCCGGGGGCACAGACTCCTCCCCACCTGGGCAGAGTAGGCTCCGACACCCCTGAGGTGGGGATCCAGGGTGAGATGGGCCCAAGAGCTCCTGGCGTGTGTGTCACTGTCCTCCAGCCTCACCCATGCCACCCTGGAGACCACTCTGCATGCGGGTGCCAACCACCCATGCCTGTCACGAGGGGAGGGGCCGTGAGGAGCGGAGGGCTGCAGCCCGAGTAGGGAGAGCCTGTCATGGGCCCTGGAAACCCTGCTGGGCACAGAGCTGGGCCGAGGCAACCTTGTGCACCACCAGCCCAGCGTGGCACCCTGAGGCTAGAAGGGTGGTCTGTGGGTCCCTGAGGCCCACAGGGACCACTGCGGGGTGTGGTGGGGCACTCAGGCTGCTGTCCAAGGAGAGGATGTGGTCCTGGTGGCTGGGAACTCTGTCATCAGGAGCTCTAGGGATAAAGCACCCCCTTCCCAGTGCCTGTCACTCATCCTTTAATGGGGAGAGGGACCCCCTAGGCTGTGCAGGAGTTGGGGGGGCTCCTACCTGTCTGCAGAGTAGGCGGCTAAAGCTGGGGGAGCGGGCCGTGCCCCGAGGGGGCAGGGTGAGGAGGGTGCTGTTGCCCCTGGCAGGGGAGGACGCAGTTGGCAAGGCCTGGAGGGAGGCACAGGACTCCACAGGTGGCACGTGCTCCACGGAGGTCAAGCCTGGGGCAGGAGAGTGTCTAAAGCAGGCAGCTGTCACCAGCCCTGAGCCCCCGACCCGCCCGAGTCCGGCTGCCTATGCCTCCCACCTGCCCACTCTCTCCAGCTGTCTCGGGGGGTCCTACCAGAGGAGGTGCCCACGTAGGTCTCCATTTCCACCTCCTGCAGCGGGTGGGGGTGAGGGGCCGAGGCGGGCGCTACGGGCCGGAACATGTAGCTGTCATTGGGCAGAGAGAGCATCCTGGACACAGACACCTTTCGAGCGACCAGGAGGTTGGGGGCATCGGGTGCCCAGGCTCTGTGGGGCTGCGGGCCTGGGACCGGCGGGCGGCCCCTGCGCCATCTCCAGCTCGAGCTCCGCGTCCAGCTCGGCGTCCTCACGGGCCTCCTTGTTGCTCTCCTCCAGGTGCTTCATGAGCACGGCCACCACCACGTTGACCAGCACGAACTGGGCCACCAGCACGAAGGTGACGAAGTAGATGGGCGAGATGGCGGGCAGGTAGGTGAGGCAGTGCTTGTCTTCCCGGACGCACTCGCGCAGCGTGTCCTGTGGGCGAAGGGCAGCTGCAGGAGGGCGCAGGCCGACCCCACCTCGCCGCCCGCCTGGCTCGGGCTGGTACCTTCATGATCCCGTTCCAGTTGTCCCCCGTGGACACGCGGAACAGCGTGAGGAAGGCCATGCCGAAGTTGGAGAAGGTGGCGTGCCGGCTCAGGCCCTCGCAGGGGTTGTCCTCACTGCACTCTGCAGGTGAGACCCGCCAGGTCACCACACGCTGGGTCAGGCACACGCTCTGGGGTCAGGCACACACGCTGGGGTCAGACACACGCTCTGGGGTCAGGCACACACACTGGGGTCAGGCACACGCTGGGGTCAGGCACACACGCTGGGGTCAGGCACACACGCTGGGGTCAGGCACACACGCTCTGGGGTCAGGCACACACGCTCTGGGGTCAGGCACACGCTGGGGTCAGGCACACACACTGGGGTCAGGCACACGCTCTGGGGTCAGGCACACACGCTGGGGTGAGGCACACACGCTGGGGTGAGGCACACACTGGCTGGGAGCCTGAGACCCGCCAGGAAGAAGGTCGTGCTCCTCTGAGCACGGAGTGATTGCCTAGCTTGGGGGTCCCTGGCAGGTGGGCACCCAAAGGAGGCACCTGGGGGGCATGTCTCTTCACAATGGGTGGGGGGACTCCTCCTTGGCCTGGGAGCTGCCTGAAGCCCTGCTTGTTCTGGATCCAGGGCTTTCTGGGTGGATAAGCCGCGGCCTGGGGGCCAGCCCGCTCTGGCCCAGCCCCAGGGGACGGCACTACTTGCTTCCCAGGCCCTGTCTTGGGTCAGGAACCCCCAGGCCTCAGTGGAGTAACGGGGCCACCCTGGAGCCTGAGGCAGGGCCAGGGGCCAGGAGTCAGGCCTGGGGTCTGGGGCATTAGCTGCCGGTCCCAGGAGCTCCTGGGCAGAACCCAAACTGCCAACCACCTCAGCCGCCTCAGACAGGCCCCGTGGCTCCTGGAAGCCACTGCGTGTTCAGTCACCGACTGTTCAGAAGACCCCAGCAGGAAGGGAAGGGGCCCTATAGGGAGTGGGCTGCCAGAGAGGGTCCCCCACTGCCCCTGCCCAGACTGGCCAGACGGGGTTTAAGAAAACCCGTGGTGACAGTGAAGGACATGCTGCAGCGTTTGTCCCCTGGGACCAGTGCAGATTAGGGTGGCACGTGCGCGCGTTTGCATGTGGATGCTTGCTCGGGTTCACGTGTGGCTCTGCCTCCCTTGCTGGGCTGTAAGTACACTGGGTGTGTACGTGCACATGTGTGTGCCATGGGTCTGCGTGTGCGTAGATGCTCCTGCATGTGTCGCTGTCATGCTCGCCCTGTGCAGTGAAGGGCTGAGGGAGCAGGGGGCCCTGCCTTGGTCTGGCCAGTGGCCCGAGCTATCTGCCGGACGTGTGTGTGTGTGTGTGTGTGTGTGTGAGGCTGCGCCTGCCTGGACCCCAACTCACCAAGCCTCCCGAACAGCTCCACTCCCAGGGCAGCATAGATAAAAAACAGGAGCATGAAAAGTAGGCCGAGGTTCCCTACCTTCCCTACCTACACAGGAGAGAAGCAGAACCAGGTCAGGCCTCAACCCGCCTGCTATCAGTGCCTGGCGCCCACCAGCCACCCTCACCCCCAGTTCTTGCCAGGCAGGAGGTCAAGTTCCCAGTGAGGTGTGAAGCCTCATTCTTAACCCACCCCCTTTGGCCCTGGCTCCCATGGTCCCTAGGGGCTCCCTGTCCTGCCTGGTGCTCAAGGCCCCTCCTTGGCCTTTCACGCCCACCCTGCGCCCCGGACCACCCCTGCCTCCAGTACCTCTGCTCCCCAGGACCTAGGAGGTCCCCAAGGCTCTGGCAGACTCTGTGTAGGGTCTGCCTCCAACCTTGGGGCCCCCATAGGGAGGCCAAAGCCTAGGTTCTACCAGGAATCTCACCAACGCACCCTCCCAGCACTTACGCTGCCCTCCAGGCAGGGTGCCCTGTCTTCACATACCTCCTGTGCCCCTGACACTGGGGCATGGCCAGGCCCAGGCTTCCCTCCCTCCTGTCACTCCCACAGGCACAAAGGGCTGGTGGCGCATGGTGTGTGGACCATGTGGGTGAGTAGGTGACTGAGAGAGAAGGTGCTAGATGGATACGCAGCTGTGGGGTGAGTGGCTGGCTGGATAACAGACAGAGAGACACATGGGTGTTGAGGTAGACGGATGGGTGGCCGAAAGAGAACCTTGGACAGAGGGGCACATGGGTGGTTAGGTCGAAGGGTGGCTGGCTGAAAGAGGACAGAGGTGGTGGGGACAGAGGAGCTGGGGACAGAGGTGGTGGGGACAGAGGTGGTGGGGACAGAGGCTTAAGCTTGGAAAGGATTTGGGGGGTAGAGGACCATTCACAAAGTGAGCTTGAATGTTGGCTTGATTGGTTTTCAACATCAGCATCTCAGTAACAGAGGAATCATGAAAAACCCCATAAAACATGAAAGTGCTTCTTGTTAGGTGGTTTGAGAGCCTCCAACTTCAGAGGCTTATTAGAGATTGAGATCCCCTTGTTAGGAACGTAAAAACCTGTCTGGAAAAACGAAAACGTAGTATTTGTACATAAATATCTGAGAATTTTCTAGATTCAAAGAAAAATTGTGAACCTTCAGTGAAAGTGCCCTGTGAAATTCAGCAGAATAAACACAAATAAATTTTACACCTAAACCCATTGTAGTGAAACTGCACAATGTCCACATGAAAAGCCCACAGAGACAAGTGAGAGTTTAACCTAAAGGAAGTGACGTCAGACGCAGGGGATTGCTGATCAGCAACAGGAGGAGGAAGGACACCCTGGAGCAATTCCTTGGAAGTGCTGAGGAAACATCACCATCAACATAAAATTTTATTCCCAGGTAAACTGTCACACAATATGGAGGAAAAAAGAGTGACATTACAAAACAGAACACCCAGAGTGTCTTATTACCTTCAGACACTCATTAACAGAACTATTTAAGGATTTATTACAGGAAGAAGAAATATTAATTTGGAAGAATGATGTGGGACAAAGCAAACAAAGCATTAATGGGAAAACACATTGCATGCTATTCTCCAGACACCCCTGAGTGACCATAAGCCTTGACGGGCCTCCTTCATAATCAGAGGAAAACTGAGGGAAATAAAGGACATGCAGTGTCACACTCATCAGATTGGAGAAAATGAAAAAGTGCAATAAAACCACCTGTTTGCAAAGATGTTGAGAAATGAGCAACTCATATGTGGAATCTAAAACAGAACAAAACAAATGAAGAAAACAGAAACAGACCCATAGATACAGAGAACAAGTGGGTGGTTTCCCAAGGGGAGAGGGTAGAGAGGTGGGGATAAAATTAAAAAGGAAAATTACAAAGCTTACATATCTTTATATTTTCATGGTGTATTTCAGCAAATAATTTTAAAAAGAAGAGGGGGCCCTGGCTGGTTTGGCTCAGTGGTTGAGGTGTCGGACCGCATAGCGAAGAGGCCTGGGTTTGATTCCCAGTCAAGGGCATGTGCTTGGGTTGCAGGTTTGATCCCCAGCCCAGCATTGGGGTGCCTGCAGGAGGCAACCAATTGATATGCCTCTCACATTGATGCTTTTCTCTCTCCTCTCTCCCCTTCCCTTCCACTCTCTCCAAAAATCAATGGAAAATACCCTGGGGTGAGGATTAACAAAAGAGATAAGAAGAGGGGATGCTGAGATAGAGTGCACGTGGGCATTCAGGCCAGCAGCTGTGTTTGTGTGTGTGGGAGGGAGGGGGGCAGTGTCCTGCACTCCTGCTCTGAGCAGGAGTCCTTCTGGCCTCAGGCCCCCATTAGGGGTCCCAGGGTGCGGGGTCTGAGTGATAGGAGTGGATGCACAGAGTGAGGGTGGGGCTGCGTGGGCATCAGGGTCAGGATCAAAGCCGGGGCTGTGATGAGGATGTCTGAGCCCTGATAGGGGAAGGCTGAGGGCAGGTGGGCAAAGGGCACAGCTTCTGTTACCTAACAGCCCCATTTTGCAACACTGCAGTGGAGGCTGGGCCAGCGAGGGCGGGGTGGGGGTGCTGTGGGGGCAGCAATGTGCCAGCGTCCACGGGTCCTCACGGGTCACAATGGAGGTGTTGGACCCGGGGCAGGGATGGCTCGGGGAAGCCCTAATTCATGGCACTGGCTGTCCCATTCGGGCCCAACCACGGGACACCTGTGACCACACTGACAATGACACTGACCTCACTCACTCTGCCCGACGGCTCAGAGGGACACAGGCCTCAGCGCAGCTTTGTGTCCACAGGACGGCCTTGCTCCTCACCAGGGGCAGCGCCTGTGACCGGCTTCCAGGCAGCACCCACTCCGCAGTGCCCGCCGGGGCTCTGACGAAGGCCCCCGAGTTCTGTGCCCTGCTCCCTGGCACCGCTCCTGGCGGCTGTCCTCCCACAGCCAGGCCCTCTGTCCTAGACCCGGGGTGCCAGCCTGTGACACTCAGGCTGTCAGGGCTCCACCTCCACCACTCCCTCCTTCCCCCGCTTGCTCTCCACTCTCCACGCTCCCTCCCCCGGAGAACCAGGCCCCCTGGTCCCCACGTGTTCTAATGGGTGGGCATCTTGACTGGCATCACCTGGGCTCCCTAGGCTGTGCCTGCTGGGCTCCTACTGCACAGGCCCCGCAGCTGGAGGTGCAGCCGCCTCTCTGTGGGACATTCCCAGCGTCCTGGTTGGTAGTTGATTGCTCTCCCCTGAAGTGATCCGTTTTGCCAGGAGCAGTGCCAGGTGCAGTGGCCTGGCTGCACCCCTGGCTCCAGGGCAGGCTGGGGAAGAGGCTGGAAGCCCAGGGTCCCGCAGGCACACTGCCACCCAGGACTGAGTTTTCAGCCCCAGGCTGGTCTCCCTGCCCCGGAGCCTCCTAGGGCCTCCCTCCACGTGTGCCCATGCATCATCGTCTGCATGTGTGTGGGAATGTGTGCGTGTGCGTGTGCGTGTGTGTGTGTGTGTGTGTGAGTGTGTGTGAGTGTGTGTGTGTGTGTGTGTGTGTCTGTGTGGTTGTTCAGTTGCATGGATTGGGAAGGTCTGAATACTTGCAGTTATATGGTCACATATGACTTTGATAGACATTGAACAGGAGCAGATCACAGCTGAACACCATGCGACAAGGCCACTTGCCCACAAGTTCACTGTGTGAACTTATGAGGGGCGTCCTGTGAACCATCTTTTGTTACTGACGAAGGACATTTTATTTCTCTGCCTTTGTTTACATCCCTGGTAAATACTGAGCCTTACTTTCTGTTCTTAGAGGTCTCTTATGGTTTTCTTGTATTAGAAAACAACAGGCTACATTGTTATTTTAACCTTTCTCACACTTATATCAAAAATGGGCACAAGCCCTCCTACATTTGGAAAGAATGCAAATTAAATGTATATGTAACTCACAATGGTGAAAATACAACCTACTAATATTCACAGGGACATGGTGACTTGTACCTGGAGGGAAATGACTAGTCCTTTCTGGATTAATACAAATAGAACAGAGAATGTCCTGTTTAAGTCAAGAAGTGAGAAAAATTATATCAGAGGAAACCGAACAAGAGCATAAAGAATAGAATAAAAGATAGGCTAACTAAAGGAAGAAAGTCAGGGGTAATTTAAAAAAAATAAAAGAAGCACCTGGACTAGATAATAAAGAAATTACAGGGTTGCAAAACCAAAAGTGAGTGCCTTAAATCTAATGAAATAGGAAAACCTGAGGTAAGATCCATCAGGCAGGAACATGGTGCACAAATAATATTAGTAATAAAGAGGTGACCAGACACATGGGCAGGGCAGAGATTTTTAAAACTCGGAAGAGGTTAGTATGAACAACCACATTAAACAAACTTGCCATCAGGTGAAATGGACCATTTTTAGGCGAGTATAACACCTGAGAACTGACTTTAGGAGAAAGGGAAGCGGGACCAGATTTACAATCATGAAAGGCCTGCTTCTGAGTGGTGAACATCCACCCAGAACTAACATATAAAGTACAACACGGGGAGTTACCCACAGCCTGGCTTCCTGGAGAATTACACTAAGACTTCAAGGCCCAGCGATCTTCCAGGGACAGCAAGAGAGGCAGCTCCCGGGCACACTTTCTGGAGAACAAACCTAGGCCCATAGAATAAAAGACAATTTCAGGACAATTTCCATTATGAACATAGATTGAAAAAATCCAAAGTAAAACATTATCAAACCATCTCCCAATGTGTAACATAATTAGCAAATAACCCAGGAAGGTCAAAACCACAGCTGTTGAACACCAATTAGTGCAATTTACTATATTAACAGAGCAGAAATAGATGATAAAAACCATGTGATAATCTCAATAGATATGGAAAGTACATTTTTTTTTTTGGTTGATAAATTCAACTATAGTTTGTGATAAAACTCTTAGCAAACTTGGGCCAAGGGTGACTTCCTAATTCGATAAAAGTGGCTTTCCCAGAAGCCACAGCAAACGTCCTGCTTACCCAGGGAACACTGGCAGCCCCGCCCCTGAATGAGGGATGATGGACAGGGAGGCCCAGACAGTGCAGTGACTCCAGGCAGCACACAGCCATCAGAAATACACAAAAGGTGTGAGGACCAGGGAGGAGGAGAGGGGACCACCAGGAGCAACACGGCGCTCTACACGGAACACCCAAACCATCTGGTCACAATGTTAGAACTAGTGTGAGTGCGGCGAGGCAGCTTTGCCCACCATCAACGCAGGTCCAGCGCTGAAATCCCACAGGCCTTCTAGACACTGCCCATGGCCACTGAGAAGAGGAATCAGTAAGATGGCATTTCCAGTGACTACTCCAAACCACCTGGGAAGAAATCTAACAAAACATGTGCAAGATTTCAGAAAGGACATTGTCCAGTTGAGCTAAAGGACATAAGGTCCAAATAACATGGACAGATATGCACTGACCATGGGTGGGAGACGCAGCATCCTCAAGCTGTAAGCTCTTATCAATGCACAGCCCTTCCCACAGTCCCACTCACAGGATTTCTCAGGACACATGACAAGCCAACTTTTAGGTTTTGATGACAGGTTTGTGGGAGTAAAAAGTTATCATAAACTATTTTGCTTTCATTGAAAAGAGAACTGACCTTGGGTTGCAAGACACGATTGTATTTGACAAAAAAATCTCTGAGTGAAATTTTTTTATTTTGTTAATCCTGACCCAGGGTATTTTTTTTAGCTTTTTAAAATTTTTTGGTCTTTTTATCTTTTTATTATCTAAAGTTTTACATATGTCTCCTTTTTCCTGTCCCTGCTCCCCCATACCCCTTCCCCCGCCCTCCCCACCCCCATCCATTCCCACCCTGGGCAATCACTCACAACCCCATTGTCTGTGTCTGTTGGTTATGCTAATATGCATGCATACAAGTCCTTTGCTGCTCTCTAACTGCCACAACCCCCCAATCTCCCCTGCCATTTGTCTCTGCATCTATTTTGGTTCATCAGTTTATGTATTTTTTTGCTATTGATTTTTTGAGAGAATGGAAGGGAGGGGAAGAGACAGAGAGAAACATGGAGGTGAGAGAGACACATTGATTGGTTACCTCCCACACATGGAACCTGCACTGGGAATCCAACAGCTGACCCTTAGGTGGGCGGGCCACTGTTCTAACCATTGTTCAAACCACTGGCCTGGACTAATTTGTTATATTTTTAATGTCCATGTGCATTTGGTTATTATCTGCTTAAACAGTATGTAATCCTTGTTTCATAAATGCAGTATCTTCTCCTACCTCCCTGAAAACTTACTCAAACTTCTATTTCTCATCATTGCTAGTTGAATAGGTTTGAATAACTTTTTTTCATTTGTTTTTACTTTGGTTTCTAACTTTCCAACTCAATGCTTTCCTGGTCAGCCCCAACAGTTTTCTTCATGTGTAAGAGCAAATCACTAAGTTTTGGGCTGGTTTATGCCAAAAATTGCCACCGTAAACAGGTATACTTAGAGAGAGGAAGGGAGAGGGATAGAGAGATAGAAACACCAATGAGAGAGGACATCATTGATCAGCTGCCTCCTGCACGCCCCCGCACCTGGGCATGTGCCCTGATCACGCGGATCAAACCTGGGACCTCTGGTTCCTGGGCTGACACTCACCAGCTGAGCCACACCAGTTGGGTGCAAGAACACTTTTCTAAGGAACAGAAACAACCGTGTTTATTAACAGTTCAAATGCTGACTCGCATCTGTCAGCCTGGTTGGCTGGTGGACTAGTTGATTCTGTTCTAAGATGACTGGGCGGAGACCTGGGCCTCCCAGATGCCAGTCCTCTGTTTTGCTGGGACCAAAGGTTCTCTAGAGATGGATCCTTCACCCTCCTCCTGGGGTGACCCCGACTGCAGGAGTGAGAGGACGGCCTGGGTCCTGACCGTGTGTCCAGCCTCCTGGCTCTCACCACCTTCCTCTGAGCTGGGTGACCCTCTTCAGCCCCTGCCAAGATCTGGGTTGCCTGGGTCCCTCAAGTTCAAGGTGGCCCCATTACCATGTGTCCTGCACAGTGAGGTGGCTTCACCCAAGCACCAGAACAGGGGGTTGCACTTCTCCCCAAGCCCCTCTTCTTCATCCCCTCCATCTGATTCCCAGCGGCCCCTCACCGATGCCATCTCCTCCTTCTTTGCTGTGAGCTGATACCGTGCATTTTTCTGCTGCTGTGTTGTCGCTGAGACTGGGTCTAGGATAGTGATGGTGAACCTATGACACGCGTGTCAGAGGTGACACGCAAACTCATTTTTTGGTTGATTTTTCTTTGTAAAATGGCATTTAAATACATAAAATAAATATCAAAAATATAAGTCTTTGTTTTACTATGGTTGAAAATATCAATAAATTTTTATATGTGACACGGCACCAGAGTTAAGTTAGGGTTTTTCAAAATGCTGACACGCTGAGCTCAAAAGGTTCGCCATCACTGGTCTAGGAGGATGGGCAGGTCGGCCGGGCCTTTCCCCCGCACTGCATCACTGGACGGCCACTCGGTCCCCATTCCCACAGCTTTATGGTACCAGCTGCCTAGTTTGCCTCACTCTGCCCTGTGGCTTCCTGGGACACCCCCACCTGTATCTTCCTCCTCAAAAACTTGGGGGTCACTTTGAATGTTCCAGACTTGCCTGCAGTTCACATTCTATGGGGATTTTGGAAGAGTTGATATTGGATGACACCGTCTCCTGTTAACAACATTGAATGACATTTTATTTCGTGTGAGTGTCCTCCTCAAGGAAGTTTTGTGGTTGTCACGGACTCTAGATTAGGAATGTATGGACCTGGCCGTGAATGGGGTCTCTACCATATTGCATCGCATTAGCTATGCCTGGGGTTAAAGATGAGTTTCTCCTTCTTTCTCTCCTGATTTGTGTGCAAAACATTTGTCTTCCATCTAGACACCTTGGGAAACTTAATCTTAGCACTTTTTTATTGAGGCTTTTGGCTTTTCTGGGAAGACGATCATATTATCTGCCAATGATAGTCATGACACTTCTGCCCAAGACCGTCAAACCTCTTGTTTCTGTTTCGGGCAGATCTGCTCCTAATGCCCAAATGTCTTTTCCCAGGTCTGGCCCAGCTGGTTATTGCCCAGCCTGGTGCCGGGGGACGGGAAGTCTGGGTCCAGCATCAGGCTGGGCGTTGGGGCCTGTGGCCTCCTGCTGACGCCTCTGTGACTTGCCTTCCTGTCATCTGGGCTGAAACCAGCCCCAAACCCACACCCACTGTTGAGGGGGAAAGGTGGGGATTCAGTCCAGACCAGAGGCAGGGAGGGAGGAAGCCCCCCTATCACCCAGAGGTCTCCCCCCTGGGCCTGTGGGACTTGCTGGGTCTGGGAGCCCAGCCCCTTCCCTCCTGGGTGATCGCTCCCCCCACCACGGGGCCCTCGGCCATGTTGGATCCTGTTTTTTTTCCTTTCGAGATCCCCACTGTCCCCTGAAAATTCTGATTCTGGGTGCCCCCGGAGACACCAACGTATCAGCAAGGATGACAGGGACTGTGGCCCAGGAGGGAATGATGGGTTTCTAGAGACCCGAGCTCATCTAAGTGCTGCAAAGCATCCTTGGTGGTCTCCTCACTGGGCTCACGGGGCACAGAGGACCGGGCAGTGGTTCAGGAGTGTGGGAACCCCTCTTCCTTCTCCTCTCAAACCACTGTCTGGTCCTGTCCCATGCTTGGTGGAGAATGATTCTCAGATGTCAAAGGGCAGAAAAGTCTGTCCCTGGCGGGTGGCCGGCCTCTGCCTGTGGTTGGACACAGCTCCTCCATTCAGAAAGCAGGGAGTGTGAGGGTTGGGGTTGGCTTCCAGCGCTGTGGGGGTGCGGGCATGTGCGGGAGGTGAGGAGAACTAACGTTAAATTGGCACCTCTCACACCCTTTCCTGTGCATTTTGACAAAGCTTGATCATGCATAGGATGTATGATCATGATGATCGGATGTATGAGCTGAGCAGATGCCTGAGTGTCCTGGGGCGGCCGTTACCCATGCCACAGACCCAGACCTTTAAACAAAACTTGATTCTGTCACAGTGTTGGAGGCTGGAAGTCTACAATCAAGGTGTCAGCAGGTCCCACAACCTCCAAAGGCTCCAGGGACACTGCCTCCTCCATCTCATGGTCTTGCTGGCAAACTCTGTCTGCAGGTCCAGCGAGTCTGTCCTTTTTGGGGGACACTGTGAGTCTCAAAAGAAGGAGGGGGCAGGGGAGCCCTGGGCCTGCTGCTCTCCTCACCGCCCCCCCCCCCCAGCCCCTGCTCTTGGCTCAGGTGCCAGCCCTCATCCCATCCGTTCCCCTGCTCTGTGTTGTTTCAGAGCATCTGATTTACTTATCATTTATTTAGTTCCTCACCGAGGATATGCTTATGGATTTTAGGGAGAGGAAGGGAGAGAGATGTGAGAAACATCCATCGGTAGCCTCTTGTACATGTCCTGATCCGGGAACGAACCCTCATCCTAGGTATGAGGTCTGACTGGGAATCAAACCGGAGACCCTTCAGTGTACAGGACGAAGCAAAGCATCTTTTTTTCTTGTGCAAACTGTCATCTTACCAATGAAATATGTCCAGACCAATATTATTATTATTTTCATTTTGGTTCATCCTCACCCAAGGATATTTTTCCATTGAATATTAGGGAGAGTGGAAGGGAGAGGGAGAGACAGAGAGAAACATCGATGTGAGAGAAACATTGATTGCTTGCCTCCTGCATGAAACCCAACCAGGGCCGGGGAACCTGCAACCAAGGTATGTGTCCTTGACTACAATCGCACCTGGGACCTTCAGTCCTCATGCTGTCGCTCTATCCACTGAGCCAAACCAGCTGGGGTTCCAGCACCAATACTGAGTGTCTTCTCAGAGAGGAAACACCATGTTTCTTATCTGATAGCTGGTCTGCTGGTCACCACTGGTTCCACTGAAGAGACAAGCCCCGCCTCCTCCCATGCCCCACCCCAAAGGAGGGCGGCTTCCCCTTGGGCCTGTCTGGGCAGGAGGATAAAGGGGCTCAGAGGGTCCAGGACAGAGGCAGACAGACCTGGCATGGTGAGGACGCTGCTCAAAGCCCCATCCTCTCCATTCCCAGGCTGTGTCCCCGCCCCACATCTCCTCACTGGCTCTCCTCCCTGCCCTCTCCCCCTGCAGATGCTGTGGCTGCTGGTCCTGACCCTCCCCTGCCTGGGGGGTTCCGTACCTGTGACCTCAGGTGAGTTCTGACCCCCAAGCCTGGCTTTTCTCCAAACCCGTGACTCTGACCTCTCAGAGGCCGCCCCTGGGATGGGTGGCGATCCCCCTCTGAGGGTGACTCCGGGTGGGACTGAGGATGGGGCCATGCTGAGTGCCCAGCAGCGGTGCCTGGGTCCCTGACGGCTCCTCCTCTGCTTCCCCAGATCCTGGCCCAGGGACTGAGCTAGTGGGCATCATGGGGGGGCATGATGCTGCCAGTGGGAAGTGGCCGTGGCAGGTGGGCCTTTGGTTCTGGAATCAAGCAAGTTCCCAGTGGATTTTCAGTTGTGGAGGCTCCCTCATCCATCCCCAGTGGGTGCTGACCGCTGCCCACTGCATTCTTGGGTAAGTCTGACTCTGCCAGCACCCGGTGTGGGGGGAGGGGGGGGTGGACAATGTCGGGAGGCATGTGATGTGTGTTGGGGGCAGATGCTGGGCTGAGTGGCTGCAGACCCCCCACCAGGATTCAGCTTCCTGGTGCTCCCCTTGCCAGCACAGAGGGGAGGTCTCTGGGCTCTGAGGGGCTGGCCCACTTCCTGCCACAGCCTCTCAGAAGCCTTTGTCCTTCTGTCCCCAGGAGAAACCCAGTGACTCGGCACATTAAGGTCCAACTAGGACGAGTGAGACTCGCACACCAGGGCAGTGTGCAGGTGGCCAGGATCATCCGCCACCCCAAGTACAGCCTTGAAATCGGAGTATCAGGTGGGGCGGACGTGGCACTTCTTAAACTGAAGGCCCCCGTGCGACCATCTAAGCGCGTCAGGTGGATCCGCCTCCCGCCAGCCTCCTCCGCGTTCCCCCCAGGCACACGGTGCTGGGTGACTGGCTGGGGCCTCATTGGTTTTCAAGGTAAGAACCAGAACCAGGATGACACCCGTGCGATGCAGGGGGCGCGGCTCGGGTTTTACAGAGGAGGCTCAGCTGGGGTCTGAGCTGGGGTCCCTCTGGGGTCTCCCTTGGGTATAGGAGGCCGACAGCTCGAGAGGAGTCTGTTAGGAGCAGAGACCAAAGTAGCAAGAGTGAGGGATGGCCATGAGCATCTTTTTTAAAAAAATATCACCCAGGGATATTTTTTCCATTGATTTTTAGAGAGTGGAAGGGAGGAGGAGAGAGAAACATCGATGTGAGAAGCTTAACTATTAGTTGCCTTCCCGACTGGGGCTGGGGATTGATCCTGCAACCCAGGTACTTGCTCTTGACCAAGAAAGTAACCTGGGACCCTTCAGGCCAGTGCTCTCACCACTGAGACATGCCCCCAGGGAGGCATTTCTCTCCCTCACTCTGCAACAGGCCATGTTCTCCCTTCCGGGGGTCCCCGTTCTCCCTGAGTCTCGACAGTGGGATGGAGAACGAGAAGGGAGAACTTCAGTGACGTGCTCCAGGATTCACTATTAAATGGACAAAGTCAATTTTGACTGTAGGGCCGCTCACTCTGCATTTCTTGGGGGAAAGCACTTGCTCTGATTTTTCCCAATAAAAATTATTTGTGGATAAAAAATATATTTCCCTGTTTCTTTTTGGAGCTTGGTGCCCACAGTGTCAGCCTAGAGATTATCAGCCCATTGGCCTTGAGTGAACCCAGAGAGTTGGGTTCTTGGGTGACTCCCAGTGTCCCCCTGGGGAACTGAGGCTCAGCGTGTGGTTCTAGAACCAGCGGCCTGTGACTGTCCGCCCCCTCAGGACCACAGGCTCACTGGGCTTCTTCTCACAGAGCTGCTGCCACCACCCTACAATCTGCAGGAGGTGGAGGTCCCCCTCGTGGCGGATGAGATCTGTCAGCAACAATACGGCAATGTTATCAGGGACGACATGCTGTGTGCCGGGAGCTGGGGCCGGGTCACCTGCCAGGTGAGACCCCCAGACTGTGGCCTCTGTCCATTGCTCCTGCCTGCAGGGGCCCTGAGTACTGACCCTCTGTCTCCTCTTCCCACAGGGTGACTCTGGGGGCCCCTTGGTCTGTCAATGGAGGGGCACCTGGGTCCAGGTAGGCGTGGTGAGTTCGGGGCCTGAGTACTGTCTTCCCAACTTTCCTACCATCTATGCCCGAGTGACATCCTTCTTGCCTTGGATCCGCCATCATATTCATTCCTCTCCTTGAGCCCGGGGCCGGGCAAGAATGCTGCCCATGAGATGAAGACAGGCCCTCCAGGGTGTCTTGGGGACCCTCCCTGCTCCCTCCCAGTGCCAGCTCTTCATTGCACCTAGCGCCCTCCTCCATCCCTCCCCCCGCCCCCACCTGCTCTGAGATCCTCCAGCCTCAGCACCTCCATCAGCCTCTCTCCCCTGAAGTCGGGCGGGCACTGCAGGACTCCTGCCTCCTCCCCACCCCCTGTAGCTCATTAAACTGCATGAAAAACTGCTCTGGACTCAGTGGACTTACCTGTGGGCGTGGCCAAGGCGGCCAGTGGGTGGTCCGTGCTGCTGAGGGAGCCCCGGCTCTGGGAGGGGGACCAGGTGGGATGGGCAGCTATGGCTGCAGCTGGAAGAGGGCGACCTGGCGGCTCTCCTGGCTGGGGTGGAGGTGAGTCTGCTGCCCGGGGCTGGAGGCCACAGCCCGGAGGGCCACCCCAGAGGGTGCAGACCGTCCATGTTCCTCCTTCAGTCGCACGCAGTCAGTGTGTCATGGAGGCTTTAATGACTTGGACGTGGCCGCATGCAAACAGGAGGTGCTGTGTTTCCATGGCCACCGCTGCTCCCTCTGACCAGGGGGCGAGCCGAACCCCCATTTTCCAATGTGATCAACTCCTGGGACCAAATGAAGTGCAGCCTCATTTCCACCAGATTCTCAGTCTCTCATTATGAGCTTCTCCAGAGCAGGGTGGACCTGCAGGGGCCCGGGACCAGGCAGTCCTCCTCTTCCCCGCCCCCACCCTAGGGCTCCCCCAGCTCCCCAGTCCTGGTTGGTTGGAGGCGGCAGAGAGGAGTGTGGAGAGGGGACCCCTGTCCCCCCAAGGCTGCTCTCCTGGCCCTGGCGCCCCTGCGGGAGAGGCACCACGGTGCACCATCTGCTCAGGCCCCACAGAGCCATTTCTTTCTCCCTGGGGGTGGGAGGGGCTTCCAGTGGACAGAGGAGCTTCAATTTCAAATCCAGGGAGTGAGGAGGGGCTGTGGAGCCCCCCCGTCCCAGGCAGTGACGTGCACTTCCTGCTGGAGTAGGATTTGGGGGGCATGGCTGGTGCCCCGCTGGGGTGGGTCCTGCACCTACAGGTTGGGGCCAGGACCCAGGAGAGTCTGTGGAGCCTGAGGCGGCCTGTGTTGTGGGTGAGGGGGCTCCATACCCTGCAGCGACAGGCTGGTCCCCAGTCTGATTCTACAATGGGGTGGTGGCCTTCCAGACCTTTCAGTGCCAGGACCCCTGCTCCCCGAGGCCAGGGTGGAACAGCCCTCCTATCTCACTGTGACCCGGTCCTTCGGGGAGGCCTGGACTCTGAGTCAGGGAGAGTGGAAGCTGCAGGGGGTGGTGGCGGATCAGGAGCTGCATCCCCCATGTGCCCAGGACTGAAGTCTGGGTTCCTGGCAGCCAGGAGCTCTCCAGGAAAGCCTTTTCCTAGGAAAATGAGGCCTGAGACTCAGCTGGAAGGCACCACCAGGCAGATGGCCCCCTTGGGGATCTGCTCCGCCCAGGGAGGGAGGAGGGGGTGACACAGCACAGCCTGGCCCTGTGCCCTCGCCCTCGGGTTTCAGGCACACGTTCTGCCTAAGTGACTGCCTGTCCACGGGGCCCTGTGGGTGGGTGGCTGCCAGGTGGTCCACACACATCCAGGTCCCCTGTCCCCCCCCAGGAGGGTGTGGGCTGCCTGCCTTGCCATTGGGGCCTGGGGACTGTTAGTCTTTGAAGGGCTTTCCTCCCTGGGTGAGGGTGTAGTCAGACCTTTAGTGTTTCTAGGAGTAAGAATGAGGGGCTGAGTCACTCATAGGCCAGCGCTCCCAAGGGAGGGAGAAGGACCTAGAACTTGGTGTTGGAGGGAAGGCTGGAGTGAGACACGCCTGGGCCTGGGGCTGTGCCTGCAGGCATGGACAAGAGGTGGCCCCCGCCACATTCTCTCTCCATTCTCTCTCCGGAGGATGGGCTTAGGGCCACTGCTCCCACCCACCCCCACCCCCACCATTTGCCTGGAATCACAGCCTGAGCACCTCTCATCCTGGGCTCAGCAGGAATCAAGGTGGGCGGACGCAGATGCCTGGGCTGGAGATGGACAGGAGGGCATGTTACCTGTGGTCTCTGAAATCTTTTCTAACTGAGCCTGGGCCTTCAGAGGTCGGTGACACTGAAGCAGCAGGGCTTTGTCCCCCAGTAGAGACCCCTGCAGGCCAGGTCGGTGCCCATGGGGACCCTAGGGAGGGCCCACACAGGGGTCCTCAAACTACGGCCCACAGGCCACATGCAAATACAAATATTGTATTTGTTCCCGTTTTGTTTTTTTACTTCAAAATAAGATATGTGCAGTGTGCATAGGAATTTGTTCATAGTTTTTTTTTAAAAAAACTATAATCCGGCCCTCCAACGGTCTGAGTGACAGTGAACTGGCCCCCAGCTTAAAAAGTTTGAGGACCCCTGGCCCACACTCATTGGCTTCTTCTTGTCTGAAGTGACAAGAGAAACCTTCAGGGCTTGGAATGGAGACTCCATGCAGGGCCATGCCCTGCCAGGTGGTCAACACACCTCAGTCACCACCAGGCTCTCCCACTGTGTGGTGTCCTGGGGTCGCATTGACATCCCCCCGACTGCGAGTGTGTGCTTAAAACAACACAAATGCATCCTCTTACTGGCTAGAGGCCAAAAGCCCACAATCAAGTTGTTCTGGGGCCACAGCTACTCCCAGGCTCCTGCCTCCTGCAGCTGCTGGTGGTGCTGGGACCCTTGGTTGAGGAGGAACCCCTGGACCCCCACCCCATCCTCCCCACCCTTCTGTGCTCTCCGCATCCTCACCTCTTCCTACAAGGAACCATCATTGGATTAAGGGCCTCCCCCCCTCCACTCTGACCCCATCTGAACTAGTTGCATCTGCACTTATTTCTAAAGCAGGGCAGGTTCTGAGGGACCGCACTGGTCCACACTGACTCCCTCACTGGTGAGGTTACAGGCCACCAGGCTGTGTGCTCCTGAGAGGGGGTGTGCACCCCTGAGGAGGCAGGGGCCTGGCCACAGGAAATCTTTAGGATTCCCACGGCCCAGCACCCAGGGCCCCCATCAAAACAACAGGACAGTGAGGGCCTCTGCCCCTCTCAGGGAAGCAGCGTGCTCCCCACCTCACGGTGCCCTCCAGCCCGTGACGCTGGCCACACAACAGGCTGCCGGCTCTGAGTGGTCCCAGCGCTGGACAGGGCTCTGAGCAGGTCCAGCTGCACTGGCCTCACACGACACAACAGACACGATGGTGTTAAAAGTATTGGTGATGGTGCATGCCCCGCGAGGGGCAGGACAAGGTAGGCCATGCAGCCTGCACTGAGGACTGTTCCTGAGATGTGAGTGACAGCTGGTGTCTGTGTTAATTGAGCTCCTTGTACATGGAGGCCAGGGAGCAAGACATGCCACCATCTTGGTGGGACAATGACAATGACCACCAGGCAGAGGCAGGGCTGCTGTGTCACAATGGGGGGCAGGGAAAGTGAGGGCCCTTGTGTGTCCCTTGCTACCCCCTCGTCAATGTGATGGCAGGTGGACACGTGCAGCCACCAGGCCTGAGAAGTCCATGTGACCAGAGCTCAGCCTCTCAGGGGTGGGGGTCTGGGTTGTGCTACCAGGTAAGTCCCAGAGTCCCAGTTAGTAGCAAAGGGTGGGATCCAGGTGGACAGTGGAGGGGCCCTGTCGGCCTCAGTTGTACCCTGAGCCTCTGCTTCCCAGTTTCCTGGGCAGGGTCTCCTCTGTGGTCCTGCGGCCGCCTCCTCAGCACACGAGGCAGAAGGCGTGGACGCTGCCGGACACAGATGCAGGCCAGGTCCCCTTTCAGGACAGGACCTGATGGGAGGGCTGGCAGTTCCTCTGGCTGCCTCGCCCCGGCAGGTCCCTCTTGGCTGGCGCAGGGAGAGGCAGGGCTGGCACTGTGTCCCAGTGGGGGCCGTGGCCTGGGTCTCCCTGTGGGCTAGTCAAGGTGTCATCAGCCTGCATTGTGCTCCAGCCTCGCCCTCTGCCCATCTCTGCTCCGTCCACCTGCCTCCCAGGTGCCTCTCCCTGACTTGTATCCACATGAAAGCCTGTCTCAGTGCAGCTTCTGAGGAGCACCCTGCAGAGGGCAGTGTGCATGGCCTCAGCTGGTGGCAGTGAGGGGGCCAACAGGCCACATGCCAGGCAGATGGCATGCTCTAGTCAGATGGTGGGCTTGCTCCACGATGCCTTCACAGGGTCCAGCGGATTCAGGGGCTGGCC